AAAAAAAAAAAAAAAGGAGAAAGCACAACTGGATACTGTAGGTTATCTCCAAAATGTAATTTAAATCTGTTAGAATTCAATTCGTGAAATGTTTAGTTAAATGTTGTTTTGTTACGAAAACAAAAAAATTATTCACATACAGGATAAAAGGATCTTTTTGTGTAAAAAATAAATACGTAATAAAGTAGATATAGAGGAAGAATAATATAACGTGAAAATAAATTTTATATTTTTAGATATTTTGAATTTGCACGAATTTACAATTTTTTCTTGCCATATTCAAGCAATTCAATCTTATTTCGTGTGTATTTAGATTAACGTTTTAGATTACACGTTATATATGATTCTAGGTATAAATATTCCAGACATTTTTACGTTCACTTCTATTCTTTTTTTATTGAATCATTTTTTATTCCTTCTTATCTCACCTTTAAAACGTTCTAATATATGCAAATTTGAAACATATATATATTTAATGGATAAAATATACGCATATGAGTTCTTTAGGAACTTAATTGCTGTTGAATGATCCTTTTGAATATTTCTAAAGTTATTTTAAACGATGTATATTATACATACAGTGTAATTCGTTTCATAGTATATGCTGCAGCATATTTCAACAAATATACGAAGCAGAATAATCATAAACACACACCACAAAGGGAATACCTAAAGATTCATTCTCATGTAACAGCATGCAGAACTGGTTACAAGATTATCCATCTTTGTATATTATATTCAATATCTAACATATAATTCTTGATTATAAATTCTGCATTGCATTAAATTAACTTCAAACCATTAAAATTTCATTATTAGAATAATAAATATTTGTGTATAAAATAGATTTCTATACTTGCCTTTCTCTTTCAATGTGTGTCAAACATATACTGATTTTATACTCAATTATCATAAACAGAATACACTATTTTAAAATGATCAACTTTTATAATACAATACATTATAGTTAATTAAGTATAATTCATTCAATATAAGATAAAAAACAAGATTAAATTATATATTCCATAAAGCTATATTAAATCTCAAACTACAACAACTTTATCAACTACTTCATACATTTTTAATGCATTTGAAATTATCCAATTCGATCCACTTTATTTATCTTAATATTCACTTCTCTTTTCCATACAATTCGAGAAAGTTAGAAAAACCTTATCCTAAAAAGGGAACCATTTTTCTTCGATGCGTACAACTCGTCGAGGACCAAAAAAATAAAAAAAAAAACAGCATCGAAATTCGAACAAGGGTTTTTTTTCCATCCCCTCCCCAAATATCGAAGAATCACTCGACGTTCCACATCGAGCCCGTTTTCCCTTCGTTGTGAAACGTTGTTGAAGAACCCTTTGATTACTTGGCGAGACACGTAGATGCAGATTTGACGAGCGTGGCTTTGACGAGCGAAAGTAAAGAGCCAGCGCGTGCTCTCGACCGATCCGCGTGTACACGAGGCCACTTATACCCTCTGTACACTTCCAATTCGTACATTGTACACAAAACACGATTCACGACAAATTCGGTTGAACACGGTTGGCGCGCCATCTACCGAGTTTGCATCGCGAAACGCTAGAATCGACGTGTCTCTTTCTCTCTGACGCAGTTCTTTCACGTGTTTGACGATGTTTGAGCGCAGGGCACAATTATGTTTGGTGAATTTCTGATGATGTTGATTTCAATCTGAGAATGTAGGGGATGTTGATATATCCTTCTTTGGAATATAAATTATAGAATAGAGAGAAAAGTTGAAGTTGTAAGAAATGTTGATTGAGGCTTATTTGTTAAGTTAAGCATGTAATTTAATCGCATTGTGGGGATTTCTTGATTGTATGTCACGAATCTTTTTGAAAAAGAATTTTCTGTATATTCTATGTGTATATTCGAATGTATTAACGTTTGAATGAAACGAGATGATGATGTCTCACATTTTGTA